TGTGTAGGAGTGCTTTGAGAGAAAACCTGATTATTTCTTTCTGAGTGCTTTCACACAGGTACTGTGTGTGTGTGTGTGTGTGTGTGTGTGTGTGTAGGAGGATAGATGGTTTTGATTCCTTCACCTATGGACTCTGTTGCCTAGCAACACCACACACACACACTCAGGGTTACGTAACACTCCTCAGTATCTGTAGAGCATCGCCTGCCCACACAAGGCAACGATTGGCCGCTCTGTTCAGCTGCAGGCTGCCGATTGGCCGGCTGGGTCCATGCGAGGTCATATTTGAACATCTGACTGACGGCGGTGAGTTTGTTTGGACTCCATCGAGCACACAGTTTGTTTTTTGGACGTTTCGGTGTGAGGGTCTGCGCTCAGACTGGACCCGCCCACAGCAGCGGCGCCTCCTGCTGGGCTTTTATTCTGAATTATTCACAGGAAGTGGCGGCCGCACACAGATCAGTTTGCGTTTAAGTGGTTTGAGCTCTGAGGCGTTTCCCACACACTCATTAAGCTGTCCACGGGCTGATCTGAGGACGCGTGAAGCCCCCTGTGCGTGGCTGACAGCAGGCGGCCGTCAGCTCCTCCTGTTGCAGAAGGCTCGCTGCTCGCTGTAACGTCATTACCAGGACAGGCGGCTCACACATGATCTGATGAACACTCATTAAGTTGAGCTGCAGGCTCAGAGGCAGCGCCGGCATCCTGCTGCACAGCCACAGGGCTTTCACATCGCTGCCTCGGTGCACAGAGCAGACTCTCAGCACTAACAAAACACAGATATTACACTAAGGACACGCCCACTAATGACATCACAGATCAAACAAATGATCGTTCATAAACTATGGATGTAGCTTCCTGATAGGTGAAGTCAGAGATTTCCTAATATAATGTAGAACTGCGACTCTCTGACGTCCTGTCCTACAGGGGGCGCTGTTGCTCAGCAGGGGGCCGTTCAGAGACTGAAACATTAGGCCCGTGGTTACGTTTACCACAGACATCCATCTCTGCTGTGTCAGTCCTGTGCAGCGCTCTGCTGGACTGAAGGACATTTCTGCACCATCTCAGTCGGTGTCATTTAAAACAATAAAGAGGCGGGTGCAGAGCCACATCGTTCAAGAAGAAAACGGGGTAAACAGAGTCACAGCCTCCACAAAGACGTCTTTATCCGAGCCCAGCAGAAATGAGCCAGTATCAGTGTGGAGGATCAAGATCATGGATTTCACGTATACTTTGTATTTTCAGTAATGTTTCCAGGAAAAACTGTACC